TTATCTTGGTTAATTTTAGTTTTGGTTTGATAGCTATCCTAGCAGTTTTGGTTTTCATGCAGGGTGACATCGTTGTTCAAGATGCAAGTTTTGTAAGCATAAAGATACATTGTGGAAAGTATAAGAAAATATTGTATTATAAACTGTAAAAGCGTACCTAGCGAGTCTTCTCATTCTACCTCCTGAAAAGTCTGTACTTGCAAGGCATGTATATAATTTTGCAAGGAACTTAAATTACGTGGGTAGAAGAATGTTTAGCTACCAAACCTCAGGCTATGATTTTATTGACTCTTGGAAGATCCTATTGGATAATTTTAGAACAAAATTTGACAAGTTTAATTTGTCCTTCAAAATATCCAAATGATTTCAAAGTGCTTGGGGTATGACCCTGAACTATTTTGAAGATCTCTTGAATTATTTTGAGTTCATTTCTGAACTTATCATATTGTTCCATTACCCATCTGAGTTTAGAGTGTAGCTACCCTATTACTCAGTGAAACTTAATAATTTAATTATCATTTGGATAGTATACTCGATTAGTCAATTGATCTTTCATTTACGAGTTATGTGAGTGGGTGCCCCTAAGGCAAGTTTAGGTTATTTAAGATTGTGGGTGCCCAAAATTAAGGTCGGGCTTGTAGTGTTCAAAGATATTAATCACCCATTATGTTATTTTCTAAATCTGATCAATTGATTTTTGATATCAAGCCTATGTCATTACTAAGCCCTTAACAATCATGATAGGTAAAATGGTGATTATCAAGACTTTGATTTAACTGATATGTATTCTTATCCAATGGTTAAACCATCCTCAAATTTGGGCTTAAGAAAAGTAAATTTCCATCTTTCCAACTTAAGCCCATCACATAAGAATTTTTTGATGTTAGTTGACTTCCAAGTCATGATGATTAGGAGATTTATAATCTTGTTAACATTGCGCAAAGGTGGTGAGTGGGTTTTTACCTTTTAATCACATTATATTTTAATCACCCAAACATGCTTATTAAAATTAAAATTACCCATTTTCGCTTGGTTAATCCTAAATTTTGATTAAGGCACCAATCTAAAATGACTATTTTTCCCTTGGGGCACTTCACCTCATAACTCATTAGACAGAACTAAAATGACCTTGAGGGTTTAAATTATCGTATTCATGAGGTAATTACAATGTTTAGAAGAGAATATATGGATCTCTCAAAATTTTAAGTTAATTTAGATGATTATATAAATTTAAGAGATAGGATTTTAAAAGGTTAATTTATTTAATTATCTAAAATAAATTTTGTGTTTATGAAAAAATTATTAGAGGTATCTTAAGGTCAGAGAAACACCTAGACAAGATTTCATGATTTTTTGAATTAAATTATCATCATTATTATTATTATTATTATTATTATTTAATTTTAATCAATTTTCAATGATTAAATTAAATAGAAAATAATGTTTTAATTTCAAAAAAAAATCATTTTTCATATTTTTAATAGACTCTTCTAAATTCAAAAAACTCAGAGAACCATGTTTTGTACTTTTGTGATTTTTAATTAATTTATTATAATTAGCTTAATAAGAAAAAATGAAAAATTCATTTTTAAACTTTTAAAATTTATATTTTAACTTAAAAAGATTAGAGAAAATATTCTAATGCATTTTAAGTGATAAGCAGACATTTCCACTCATTTTAAACTATTTTTGTATTTCTTGAAATTTTTTATTATTTTAATTATTTTTAATTCAAAAAACATTTAAAAATGAAATATTTTCACAAAAAATGGATTTTATTTTTATTAAGTGCTCTTGATCATAAGGAACTCAGAGAAGCAATTTTCATAATTTTTTTAAGCATTTAATATAATTATTTTTATACAAAAATACAAGGTGTCCTTAAAAATCTATTTTAGTGCTTAGACTAAGTCAAATAATTTTGATATTTTTACAGTGAATAAAAATTTTTTTTATGAATAATATGAGATTGATTTTGTTGATTTTTTATAAGTATATAATTTACAAAAAGTAACACAAAATATTCATATTTAATTAAATATAGAAATTTATAGAATAATCCAAAGCATCATGATATTTTTCCTAGATTTATCTCACCACAGGAAACCTCCTAAAATTAATTCCATAATTTTCCAATGATATTTTGACTTATATAATTAAAATAACCAAAATGGTCACCTTAGCTTGAAAATTAGGGCTAGAAGCATAGAGGTGTCCTTTGACCTAGGAAAAATCAAAAGACATGACCTCTATCATGAGGAATGAACCCTCAAAATTTCAAGCCATGGTGAGTAATATTTAGTCATGGAGGATTGAAAAACCATAGAGGGTATTTAATTCATTAAAAATTAGGGAATAAGAAAATAATTTTTATTTTTCTGTTCACTGAGCAAGAGGGTATTTTTATTTTATTTTTGAGATTTCTCTAAAGAAAGATATGGATTTTTGAATTTTAGGTATTTAAAATAACTTAGAAAATCCCTATTTTTCGACTTATCCATTTGGCGCCAACTCATCCAACGACGACTCCTAAATCACACGCGGCGCACTCTCATTCAATGTTGCAATCCACCTCAGCTACCACGCGACCCGCAGTTCACGCACCATCTATCATCCGACTTGATCTCCTCCATTGGTTGGATAAACGCAAGGTCAGATGGCTCTTTGTTATCGTCCCCAAGTGATCGGAGTTGCTTAGGTGGAGGTCTTAAGAGCTCTAAAG